TTGGGGCCTTTCTTCTAAGGCCCTCCTGCTCACACCCCACCTTGTAGCTCCTGAGCACAAATGCCTGCCTAAAGTAAAACTGCCTGCACCTCTGGTAAGAAATAGGTCATTCGAAAACTCCACCCTTCCGGAAGTCTCACAGAGCTCCTCTTCCATATTAAGCTTGAAATGATTGCCTGCAAGACAGTCACCAATTCCTTTATTGCTAGTGGCAGTGATTATACTCAAGATGGCTCCCATTCACTGAGCACATCTTTAGCCAAGCACTGTGCCAGGTGCTGCACGTTATCTCATGTAATATTCACAACAGTCATTTTCTCTTTTACAGATGATGAAAGGGGTTCAGATTTGAATAATCTTCCAGAGTCACACAAGTGGTGTCAGAGATGGAATTTGAACACAACTGTCTTTTTCATTAATAATAGTAATAATAATGATGATGATGATGATAATGACTGCTAACATTTACCAAGGATGTGCTATGTACCAATCTAACCTCTCATGACTACAAGCATGCAAAAGCTTGCTCCTCATTTGCCTAGTGATCTCAGAAAAAAAGAGATCTGCATTACCAAGGTGTCAGTAATTTGCTATAATCTTTATCATTTTATATACTCATTTTTTGATCTATTTTTTTTTCCTTTTCTTTAAGAGGGTTCTTAAGTTTATAAGCTTCTGGTCCCCCAAACCCAGACCTATTTCTTACCAGAGGTGCAGGCAGTTTTACTTTTTAACCTCTGTACCTTCTTGTGTCCTTGCTGGATTTATTTAAGCCACTCAAACTCACTCTATAGGAATAGAGACCATCCTCAGACTGAAAGGCTCACGGTGGTAGGCAACTACGCTGTCTTCCTGATTGCATTTAGTAAGGTGTAAGGGTTTGGTAAAGTCTTAACAGGCTTCATTAGTGTAAGAGTAAAAAGTCTTGCAAGTAACTTTCCTCTCGTGGTGAGCTGTGGTTTGATGTCTCCTTTATATAATCTATGACCCCTCTAGAAAAAGGGTGTACTGGCAGCATATTTTGGTCTGTAATATTTGAACTTTCGATGTGCAAGAGTGATTTCAACGTCATTTTTCTTTTGTAGAGCATGATTGCTGAAGGAAAACAAAGCCCAAAGATAAACAGCTTACTTAGGTTTTGCCACAATAGATTTTCTAAAGCAAAGAATGAAACATCAAAATGTCCACTCAGTGGTTCCTTGTCCATAAAAATTCTGAGGAAAATCAGACCATCCGAAATAGAAACTGCTATTTTTATACCCAGTTGCAAATTGCGAAGTTGCCAGCCTCTCTTCTCAGCAATGAGTCTTCCTAGGAACTGGATCTAGAATTCATTTAGACTTTTTACACTGGGGAAAGGTGCATTCTGAGTCCTTTCAGCTTTGGGTGCTTTCTCTTTCCCCGAAGAACCTTTGAAACAGCTTTCTGATCTTTTTGGTCTCCTCCATCTACAAAGAGGAAGTGGCAGAGGGATAAAGTTGGCAGGAACCTCACTCATGTGGGCATCACTAGTATTAATCGAATGGATAATGAGACATGTTGGCTAGTGAACAATGCCATACTGTTTGTTTGCAGTTCAAATCAATGACTAGGCACTCTCAGTAAAGGGAGCTGGGTGCAGCCACGTTGGATCTAACTTAGTCTATCTCCCGGGCAATAGAAAATGCCAAAATCACAAACTGTGCATCGACTTTTCAGATGCCATATGGTTGCTTTATGTAGGACTCCAAGAACACTGTGTGAACACGCACGTGCCATCCTCTTCAGACCCAGAGGCCACTGATCCATCATGGAAGACTTCAGACGTCTTCTCTCGGCCACCAACGCCTTCCCTTGATATGGCCCATTCCTTTTTGTTTGTTTGTTTTCATGAAGCGTGGAAAGGCTTAAGGGAAATGATGTCAGGACTCCCTGAGAACAAGAGGCTTGTTCCTGGGTTCCAGTATATTCTTGTATCTGTGTACACACACACACACACCCTTTGGAATGCCGTAGGCAGGAAGCATTAGAATCTGCGTCAGAAGCATTTATTCAAATTCATCCATTGGCAACACTAAACCCATTTTTTACTATCAGTAGAATTACAAATGGTGCTACAAAACAGGAGGTTCTCCTGGAATTACTGTGAAGGACAAGGCTGAATCCTTTATTGACTGAAGAACCAGATGGAGTATAGGTTACAGTCCTGATCTCTGGGGGGTGGGGGATGACTAATAGGAAAATGAACAAAGCTGTGTCTGAGGGAAGGGATCAAAAAATGTAACGGGAATCTCTTCCTGCTATGCAAAGCTGATGGTTTCTGATTTCGATATGGAATGGAAGGAGTCACAGGAGTGAGAATGGAGTCGGGCAGGCTCCTGCGAGGTGTCTTCTCCCCTCCATCTCTGTGGCTTTGTTTCACGACGTGCAATGAGTGCATCGGGGAACCGTGTGTGGAAAGCAAGGCACTGCCTGGGTCTGAATCTCTGTGGCTTTGTTTCACGACGTGCAATGAGTGTGTGGAAAGCAAGGCACTGCCTGGGTCTGGGGAGACTGCCCTGCATCCCCGTTTCACTTCATGGAAGAGAAAAGCACAAAGGTCTTTTTGTTGTTGTTTGATGGTAGCCTCTGATCAGTTCAGAGAAATAGGAGAATTTATAACAGACTAGCTCAAAAGGTCTAAAAATTGCTTAGAAGTTAATACAAATCATTAAATTTCAGTTATTTCTTGAAATTAAATAGGTAGGTAGGTTGAAACATTTATGTACCCAAGAGCTGTGATGAGAGAGGTGGAGAGGGAGGGAGAGAAGAAGAGAGAAGAGCAGAGCGCATGCTCCCAAAGCATTTGCTTCGGGCTTTTATGGGTTACTTCGGTGTCCTAATTTTAGCATTAGTTTCAGGCAGTGTTTGATCTTTGGGAACTTGTGACATCTAAATGTGGGGACTGCCTATATTCTGATATGAAAAGTTAAAAATTCGCTGTTATATAAGGTGAATTTCTTCATTAAGCAGGCTTCCCTTCATGACCTTTCTTACTTTAATGACAATATCTTTAGACGGAGGTTAACATTTTCCCTTTCAAGAACAGATCCACTGTAATAAAGACTATTCATTTATTCATAAAGTAATTTTCAATGGACAGCTAAGTATATATACAAAACCACCATTAGGTGCTCAATACCAGTCTGTCTCACAAGGGTTCTGTTAAGACTCACATGAGAAATTTATGTGACTCCGCTTTAAAAAATGTAAATTGCTATAGATAGAGAAATGTTATTTTTATTATATACTTGAATGAGCCGTGAGCATACTCGATTGTTCCCAGATATAGAAAGTTACCTGGGTCTACTTTCTTAGTTTTGATAGTAGCTGCTATTTATTGAACTCTAAGTGCCATCGGTGTGCTGTCCGCTTTATAGCCCCTACAGCATCCTCAGGAGGTGGGTATTGTCTACACTCTAGATGGGGAAACATGAGGTCAAAAAAATCTGATGAAGGTCCCATCACTAGAAAGTATTGGAACTAGAACTTGAATTCAGGCCTACTTGTCTACAAAGCCTGTGAACTCATTCTATTCTATAAATGTAGGTTTGTTTTTAAAGATGATGTTTTTCTTCAGTTATAATACAGTTAAGCCACATTTATATTATGAAAACTCGAGACTACCAAACAGAGTCACAGCTTTTTCTTAATCATTGAGAGCCGTCAACGCGAACAGCAGTCATGGCTCCAGGCCCTGCCCTGGTCCCCGCTCTGTACTTCATGGCCTAACAGACGTTTGCCTGTGTTTATGTGGTTTTTCTGACTTTTTGTTTAACCTGTCACTTCCCCCTGATGTTCTAGTGCCTGGAATGTGCTGTGGACTAATACACCGAAGAACCCAACATGCTGGAACAGTATCTAAGTAAGCAGTCTCAAAGCTGTGTCCATAGCTCGCCTGGAAAGCTAGTTTAAATGAAGGTTCTTGGGTCCCCCTTCTAGATGTTCTGATTTAGTAGTTTGGGGAGAGCAAGGCCCAAGAATTGCTGCCCTATGAGGAAAGAACACATTTTGTGTGAAATGTATTCATTAAGTAGCGTCCATTTTTATCCATGGCTTGAGTAGTTGAGATGCTGGATATTATATATATATTACTAATACACACATACATCCATACCTATGCATGTATAGAGGGGAAGGAGAGAGACCCTACTATTTGAGAGGCTACTGCATTTGAATAACTGACTTCATTTTTTTCACTTACATTAGATGCATTAAATAAAACAGTGACAGAAGAGCCTGAAAGTACCCCAAAAATGACTTATTTTTTCTAAAACCTTACTTTAGTTTGTCAAAATTCTAGGTTTCTTTCTTCTTAAACTCTGGTGCTTGCGAGTTAACTTCCAGCAAATCACCTAACCAGTCTGAGCCACAGTCATGCCCTCATCTTTAAAATGGAGATAATAATACAGGAGGTCCTTGAATAATGTCATTTTGTTCAGTGTCGTTTCATTTTAACGTTGATGAGGTACCATAGGAACTTAACTCTTGTTTCTATCCATTAACCTGTGATAAAACTGGTTTCATTGTGTCATTTTGCTTCAATTTGCAGAACCGATTGACACTGTTAAGTGAGGACTTACTGTACCTACCTCACAGGGATGGTGAGAATGGATAATGCATAGAAAGTTCCTGGTTAAGTATGCAATATGTGGTTCAACTTTCAAAAATGAACTTTTTATAGGAATTCTAGTTGTAACTATCACAGAAATGTTGTAATTCTATGAGGGACCCAAATTTCATATTTGCACATCCCGGTATAAGACAGAGATAAGCACAGTGGAGTGTCCTCTCAGAGTCTAAGGAGAGAGAGGAAATCTGCATTCGCAGCACATTATTCTCACGTTAGCTGTGTAAAACAGGCCGGGAAGGACACACTACAGGGAACGCAGAGAAGCCAAGACTTTGCTGTTTTAAATATTAGACAAAACTTAAATATTTATAATGAAGCATCATTACCTCGGTGGAAGAAACAGGCATACTAACATGAAAAAACACATTTTATTGCACTTAAGTTATAAGAAAATAAAATTTCTAAGTGAATCAAACCATAGACACAATCCCTTTAAAGGTTGTTTTCCTCCATCATGTCAGGTTGTTACATAACTAAAATTAACCAACTTGAATCTGATTGTTTTAAATCAGACTATAAATAAAACAAACAAAAAAAAAATAAACAGGAGGAGGAAAAAAAGATCGCCTAGGATACAGTGTTAAACCACTTTCACAGTTCAGCTTGAGTTGTGGCTCTTGGAGAATGAGGCAAACCATTTGACTTTTTCATTCATTTCATTTGTTTGCATGTGACGCCTTTACTACAAAAACTGAATCGTTTCTGCTTTGTCAGTTACTCAGAGCAATAAAACTGTAACAGTTGTTTTCCCAAATACTGCAAAACACTAAGACTGACCAGCAACTTTATTTTAATTTTGTGTTTTATATATTTTTAAAATCTTGTCAGTTTTATTATGTACGTTCATCCATTCACCACAGCCCTCAAAAAGAAAAGTTTCTCCACAGAACAGGCAGCGATAGCTCTGTTCCAAGGAATGTGTTTTAATTTTTGCCCAGATAAAAGAAAATAAGCTTTGCACACACTCTCAATTCTTTACTTGCAGGCAAACTTCACTCTTTATTATCTGAAACTCTCCCATTCTCAGCCTCTTAGAGGCACAGATGGTTCAAGTTTCAGTGGCAAAAAGTCTTTTTTCCGTAACCAAACTAGAGCAAATTTGGAATTCAGTCTGGGACTAAAACGTCACAGCAGAAAAAAAATAAAAAAAAATAATTTGCTTTTTTCTTTCATTTAGCAGCATAAATAAGTTTGGCCACTGGGAGTACAGTACAGGGGTGGGACAACAATCCCATATTTGAAGACCTACTTCTAGCACCAGCATCAAGAATTAAATCCATCTCAGGACTCACAGAACCCAGGACAACTTGCCACCTTTCAGCAATATATGCACTGAAGAGTGTATGTGGAAGCGACAGTAAGTAGATTAACAGAGGCTAATACTGTGATTGATTGACATTGGCAATGGTTGGCAAAAAAAAAAAAAAAAAAAAAAAAGCTTTTCATGATAACTGTACAAAAACAATTCACAGTAATATTTTTTTTTTTTTAGCTTTTCCACTCCAGAAAAATGACTTTTGTTGCAGATGCTCTCTAATTAAAGTCAACCGGTACTTGTTTTGATGTTATTGCAGCTCCTTTCTAGGTCTCAGTGGTAAAAGAACAGACTCACAGAATCTGAAACGATGTTTTAGCATTAACACAGCCCAATGACCACTGGAGAAGAAAATAAAGAAATAATTGCACCTGGTTTGATTTAGAAAGTCTTTGCAAAGCTGCCCTCAGTCAAAAGTGAAGCCTTTTATGTAATGAGACAGCAGACGCCTCTCTTGTCAGTTACGGTTTGTCATCTCTTCCTCTTTTCCTTCTTAGTCTGTAGGTCTTTTCATTCTGTTGCCCCAAGCCAATATCCTGCACCACTGAGAACAAGGGATTTTTTTTCTTTTTCGTTTTTTTCCTTTTTTTCTTTTTGCTTTTCTTTTTTCTTTTTCTTTTTTTTTCTTTTTTGCAGGGGGGAGGGCAGGGAGTATATCGTCTACACATTTGGACAAACTCATCTTTTCTGCTCTTCACTTCATGTCCACATCAAAGTCCAGCACCAGCAGCTTGGTTTCTTCCGTCCCGTTCCGGCTCCCGACCGCACACACCAGCTTTGTGTTCGAGGCTCTGATCCGCCACACGACTCCCCCGCTCCCCCCACTCTCCAATGTGACTAGGTTGCGAATAAATTCACCCGTTTTCAAGTCCCATAGTTTTACAGTTCCATCATCTGAGCTGGTAATTACAAAGTTCTTGTTGAACTGTAAACAGGTCACAGCACTCTGATGCTTGTTGGGACCTAGGCAAAACCAAACGAATTCAATTACTGGTTAGAAATCATGGCTTTGAGTTAGTTACACTGTAATTTGTAGACTTCTACATTAGAAGATAAAATAAAGGAAATATTTTAAATGCCGCATATTTAGAAACTGTATTCTGAGTATTTTAGGATCAGTGGGAATGTAAGAAAATCTGGTAGCTATTTGTAACTGAAGCATTAATTTTCAAGAGTTCTGTCTTCCAAGACGCTTGGTTAGCTACCAGGCACACACATTTTGTTTTCTGGCTGTAGGAATGAGAGCTTTTCTTAGGGATGATGTAGACAGCCCAGCTTCATGTATTCTGCTGATGGACAAATGAGCGTAAGAGATCACCCTACCACTTTGAACTGACCATTCAAGGGCAAAGGCTGAATGGACACTATTCCAAAACTCTGAGGAAGGGACAAAACCAATGAGTAAAATGCTGCAATACAGCCCACCTGATAGCCTCACTGAAAAAAGAAAAATAAAAAAAAAAAAACACTTTCTGAGGGCTATGACCAACGAAAACAGTTAATCATGACCTAGGAAGTTAACACTGCTGTGCCTCATTTAATGATAGTGGCGTTCACATTTTTCTTCCTCTATTTGAGTGGGCACCATCATTCCTTCTTATCCTAGTTAAGCAGATGGTTAAGGGTCTAAGTTGAAGCCAAAGCAATTTTCTATCAAAGATGCTTTTTGTTTTTTGTTTTAGCAAGACAGCTCTTTAATTTAAAATGGCACTAAAAATTCAAAATAAAAAGATCACTCAAAAAAATAAAATGAGTATGTTGCTTCTATGATATAGCCAACATCTCTTCCACATTGTTTTTTAAGGTTAGAGTTAACTGTACATGTAGGAAGTGATTAAACAATTTTATATTAAAAACACAATTTAAAATACTTTGTCAAGAGTAGCCTAGTTTTGTTAAGTCAGAGTGGAAATGCTCATAAACTTATCCAAAATAAGCATATTCATTTTGTATAAGGTTAATTCTTTTTGTGACATAAAAGCTCCATATTTCTCTAATTTTTAACAAACACAACTAAAAGTGGGTAGCCAATACTTACCTTGCAATGTTTGTAAACACTGTCCTGTTTTAATATCCCAGATTTTAACTGTAGAGTCTGCATTCCCAGAGACAAGAATATTGTCTTTGAGTTCCATTCCACTTGTTAACGACTGGTGTCCTGTCAACGTGTGAATGCAGTTCCCTGTCTCCACATCCCAAACTCGGATTGATGTATCAAGAGATCCACTCACTACATGGATGCCATCAAACTACAACAGACACAGTTTATTAAACTAGAAGTATAGACATTCTTGATATTATTTATTGACCTTAATCCTAATTGGGGAGAGGGAGTAGAGCATGGGAAACAGGTAATGCCAGGAGCAAAATGAGGTACTAGGATAAATTGTATGTAATGAAGCAACCCTACAGTGCATGTTCTCGGCTCCTATCCCAAATGCTCATTTTATATGGCCAGTGGCTTCAAACTAGATGCAAAAACAACTAAAAAAAAAAAAAACAAAACAAAAAACCACCTAAAATGTACATATTTTCAGATCTTCTGGTCACACATAACAGCTCCATACTATGGAAAATTCAGTAAAGATTGCCATTTGAGTTTTATTTCTCAATAGGAAGCTGAAATGAGTGACACAGCTTGTGATAAAGGGTGTTCTTATCAACGTCTAAGGCATGAAAAGGGCTAAACAACATTCACGACGTTTTAAAGTTCTGCTGCAAGTCATACATAAAATTAAAATTTCATTTACAATAACCTAATGCTAATTAGGAAATGTGCCAACGGATAATTATATTTGGAATTAGAAGAGGTGGCATTTTGATAACAAAAGATAACTATATAGCAACCTCTTTTCCTGCTTCCCAAGCTATATTGAAAGCCAATAAATATCTATTAATTCCCAGGTCTATAATTCCCAGGTCTATAATAATGTTGCTACCTCTTTTCTCAATCTAATGGTTTATTTAAATGAGAAGATTATATTCTTTACAATTCTGAGCATATCACAAAACATAAAAACAAGTGCAGCCAATTACCTCTCCTCCAAATTCATGACTTTTTCTAAGTTAACAAACATCTTTATTATGTGTCAGTATTTCATGACATAGACAGTATTCTGTCAATTAAGAAACAAATACCCCAAGAATGGAACTGTCAGAGACTGAGAACAGAACTGATTATCCTAATTTGCTGATCACTAATGAGCAATAATACCTGGTAAATAAACTGGGTAAGTAATAGGACACGTTTTTGAATTGGAATGCTATCTTTCAGAAAATAAAATAAAATCTATTTTCTAAACTTGCTATTAATCTAATTATTGATCTCAAAATATGACAATCTATTCAAAGATACCAGGTTTAAATGTAAAAAAAAAATTCAGTTTAGTCCAATGTACTTCCCTACGACTACCTATCAGCAGCCCTGCGAGAGTACGTGGCCTTATGCAGCAAAGCGCCACTTCCACTTTGCATGGGGACGAAATCACAATTACATGGCCCGTCAGCTCCGCTATCAAGGCAAAGGGGCGGCTTTTGGTCAAATTAATCCTCTACTAAGGAGTTTATTAAAATCCAGGTTATTCTCCTCTGAGACTATCTACCCATTAATTAATATAGGAAAACTTAGGGCTCTAAAGCCTCAGGTTCCAAGACAAATATTTGTATTTTAGAGGGAAAATGGATGATAGAAAACTGAAACAAATCATAAAAATAATGTCAGAATGTATGCTTTCTTCATGCCAATTTTAAAGTATGTATAAAGAGAAGGATAATTCATCTTTTGGGGGCTGTATTGAATCAACAATTTGACAGTGGTTATCTGAGTAAAACTATCTTATGATTCATCAGTAAAGCATCTGAGGGACATGAGAGCTATAATCTCTTACCTGTAATGAATAGACTCTATTAGTATGCCCTTGCAGCGTGTGTAGACAGGTCTCAGTCTCTGGATCCCATACCTTCACCATAAAATCATACGCTCCACTAACAACCCTCCTGCCATCATACTGAACACAGCGGACCGCTGCTACATGACCCATCAGCACATGTAAACACTGGCCTGTCTCAATATCCCAAACCCTAAGAGTGGCATCTCGAGAACCGCTAACAACTCTGTTGGGGGAAAACAGAAAAAAAAAAAAAATATTAGAATGTTTAATAATATGAGAAAACATGAAATATTAAAGTGGTTATTAAAATTTTTTTCTTAAGCAGGAACACCTGTTTTCAAAGAAATCCTATCTAAAGTCTTAAAATATAAATATTACAAAGTTGAGTCACTCTGATTGGGATGAGAAGTTGGGAGCCTAGAATTCTGCCTGTTTGGCTCGGCCAGCCGTGAGGGATCAAGTAGCACGGGGTTCTGTGGAACACTCTGAAAACTACGGTACTGTACTTAACGAAGAAGAAAGAGAAGCAGCAACAGCTGCCAGCTCTAAATATATACAATAAGATCTTAATATGTCAGAAATAAAATGCTAATGTACAAAATATCTATGAAATGTAAATGAGAGAAGTCTAGGTAGTAATATTTTGAAAATTTTTAATTTTCTTTTTTATCCTTTATGCCACTTCCTAAGATTTTGCTTATAAACACCTATTCCCTTTGTGAGTAAGGAATAAAATTCGATAAACGTTATTCAACAAAACAAATCAGAATTTAGAATTTAATAGCTAAAGATGTGTGCTTTACGCCATATATTCTGGTAAAATTAACCAGTTTTAGACATGTCCTCAAAGGCTGCGTATGCTTATCTTTACAAATATCCAGGCTATGGGGGCATTAAGACATACAGATGTTAGAAGATACTTATGTACAGGCAACAGAAATCCCTTAAGAAGTTGACCCAATATTATTAAATTAAACTCTTCTGAAGACTAGAGTGAAACAAGTACTGCAGTCACTTTCGGATTACAAAGCAGAGCTGAAAAACTCAGGTATCTTTATGTCATTCCTAAGAGATAAAGAAAGGCCATAGTTTCCACATGTGGAAGAGTATAAAAGGGAAGCATTGAGGGATTTAAGTCCAAGAGCATAATGGAAACTGAAATGCAACGTCTCTTAATACTAATCCCCCAAATTTTAATGGTATATACCACATTGTTCAAAATACAAACGAAATGGTACTTTTCTTCACATATTACCAATCTACTGCGAAATCTGCTTAATGTAATTAATGGTTCTTAATAAAGAAGATGCTATGGACAGAATTAAAGGTAAAGACTGGAATAGATTTACTGTAAGGACACGTCACAAAAATCTTTTTTTGACGAATGAAGTAGAAATCACATTTAACGGGTACCACGAAGACATGCCAACAGAAGATAGAAAGGACTTTAATAGGAGGGCTTTGTAGGAGGAGATAAAACCAAGAGCAAAGGCACTGAGAAGAAAAAAGCAAGCAGTCTGGTTTGGCCGAAACTATTCTGAATACTGGATAGAGGATTTTCTCCTTAATTCAGTAAGCAACAGAAGACTCCCAAAGGGCAGTGATACTATCATAATTAGAGAAGAGTTCTTTGTCGGCTGTGTAAAAGGTGAGAAGACCAAGTCTGAAAGCCATTTCAATAGTTTAGGTGACAGGTAATGAGAGAATAAATTAAAAACCACAGGCCTCAGCTTTTGCCTAGGATATGATGAAGTGGTGTAGGATGGGTCTGTAATCGAAAAGAGTTGGAGACCTGAAGCCTGAATAACTGAATTTGTCCCCCTGGCAGAAAATGAATAGCAAAAAAAATATATATATATATTTTTCCCCAAGATGAGGAGTCATCAAAGATGTAGAACAATAAAGTAAGGCGTCATTCAAGATTAGAGACCAGGGAGTTTCAAGGAGGAAGCCAACAACACTAATAATTGAGGAAAGAAATTTAAAGACAATCCTCGATTTTACGCCAATACACTCCTGCTTTCCTAGTACAGAAACATCTGAAATCTAATAATTAAAGTCTAATTTAAAAGCACATTATCACTAACTATTAGACACAGTATTATACAATCTGAACTCTACACAAAAGGCCCGAAATTCATAAGTGACAGAGGAAGAATTCCCAATCACTATGGGATTTTTCCCTCACCTCTTTTCATGGAGATGCATACAACGAACAGTGGAAGTATGCCCGTACAACGTGTGTATACACTCTCCAGTCTCTGCATTCCACACTTTGAGAGTCCGATCTGTAGATCCACTAATGATGATATTGTCTCTCATCTGCGATGACCAGACTCCACCTGTGTGTCCCACTAATGTCCTCAGACACTGCAAAAACACTTAAGATGATTACTTTTGCATAGGAAGAAAAACGATTTAAATAACATTTCAGTAGCTCGTTAAAATTTGGAGTAAAGATATTCACCCAATTTGATTGTTTAGCATATCAGAAAATATTTTTTCACATCAATATAACATGACCACATCATTATTTATTGCTTTATTTATTCAGTAGCATTATATTATACAAGCACACACATAATTGAGGAAAAAGTATGTAGAAAGTAAATACTTCTCATTAAGTTATGAAACTCCAGCCTGGCCTGTTTGATGAAATAAGACTAAAACTGCAACTTGGTTTCTTCCCTGGGAATGGATTCAATGAGAGAATGCCAAGAGCGTTGGGTGTGGCTACATACCACATTTCATCTGAACCTACGGCGAGGCAGTAGTTGGGAGCCAGGCAAGGTACTTCCAGGCAAGTAAAGACAGACGTTAAAGCCCTGAAGCCAATCCAAAACTAACGTTAAATTGTGGAAATATGAAGCTGCTTTAAAAATTTTTAGCATTTGACTTGGAATATTAGAAAATTCTTGCCCAAGAATCAACATGCTATAGGACATTTTAAAAGACACAGATTTTTTTCCTCCACACTTTCTTCTGTTATTTTTCAAATGGTCAATTACTTAATTCATGAAAATATTCTCCATTGGACAGACAAAAGTATTCACTAGAAAACCAGTAAAGTACAATGTCATATGCAGTGAAGGTGATTGGTTGGACTATTTTTTTCTTTCAGCTCCTATTTAAATACCTAGTCTGCTTAATTTCCACCTTAGAGGGTTTGAGATGAGTCTAAATTAGCATGATTTACTTAACTTTTAAACTGTAAGCAGGTTATCAACAAAGCAATTTACAAGGAAAAACAAATATCCCTCAATGACATTTTTGGAAAAGATTAAAAAGGAAGGAGATATAATTTAGGTTAAAAAGGTAGAAAAAATTAAGACAAGAAAAAGATAAAGCACATCTGTAAGATCTTAAAATAGCTAAATCACAGAGGTATTCACACAAACTATTTAAATGAAGAAGAAACTAATGACAACCCTATCATGATAAGCATCACCTTCTTGCCAAGGAAGAAGCTAAATTAGAAGCTCTGATATTTACTATCAAAATAAGCTAGGGTCAAAAACGAATCCTTGTTTTTTATTTTCACCGGTTGATCCTTGCAAAGATATAGACAAAATAGTGACTTTGTGAAGCACAGAAAGAAATAAACTCACTTTGCCTGTGACTGCTGACCAAACTTTTAAAGTGTTGTCATCGGAACCACTAACTATTCGGTTACCACAAAATTGTAAGCATGTAATCACATGATCATCATGTCCTTTCAGCACCTACGAGACAGATGTACAGATTAGAAATATGTTATTAAATTATGTTTTTTAAAATACTGGTGAAAAGAAAAACGAAACCATAAATAGGAACAGTAATCTGTAGTCTATGTCTAGAATTAAAATTCATATAATATATGAAGCATCATCATTCCCAACTGATGAATCAAGTATTAAACATTTTGTTGTTTCCATATCCTATTATTTATACTTGAGACATCAATTATTAAAATTTTACTGAGTCAAGATTTCATAAAGGTGGTTCAAACACAAAAGTATTTTATAATAACCTATTCTATCTGCTCAAAACAAAATAGGCATCTAATTTTTGCAATTTTGACACACAAAAACAAAAGCAACAATTAACTAGGAAGACAAGAGTAACAATAATTATCAACTCTTTAAACTTACAAGAAAAGCCTGTTATAATATACACACAGTAATAGAACAGTGTCTCCTATAATTGCTTTCCATCCAGTTGCAAAAATAATTCTAAGAATTTCAAACATTTTCAACCATTCTTTATATACTTGGAATGTTATAAGACAAAAGTCAGAATAATACTTAAATTTATAATAATCAAACACCAAAAGCCGCCAAAAAATCCTCGAAACATGGGCACTTCTCACAAATCATGTTTGGATCATGTGGTCAGAGAGGGAGCAAATTAGTTGGCAGAAGAATGTATGTGACAAAATTCAACCAGATACGCAGAAATTTTCATCTACGTAAGATAGAGCTACATGAAATGTAACTCATCTTTTATTCAAATACAATTAGTTTTTAGACTAGAGAAATTCACAACAGAGGAAATACTGTCAGTTGTACTTGCGGTTATTTTAAAATATACTGTGTTCTTTCTACAGGAGATAGGTGTCAAGTTATACTGCTTGCCAAGAAGTGAAGAAACACACTAGGTGCTGACACTGATTGACGGTTTCCGTTACACTGCACCAGTTCAGTTACCTTAGGAGATTTGAGTTCTCCTCGCCTCCAGTTGGTATCAATTCTGTGCTGTCTGATGTACGCACTTTTCCATGGACTGTGTATGAAACCTGGTTTTATAACTTTTCTTCTCTTGATGTGCAAAGGTTCATCTATACCTAGTTCAAAGAGTTAAAGAGTATAATTGCCTTCATCAAAAATTACACATTTTATAATGTATCTCATTTTCCCTATGCTGAAAACCACCAAAATGCAGGACACTGTCCAATTTCTAACACTTGGTACAAAACAATGTTTGCATTCTGTATGTCGATCTTTTATATTGAATATTTCGTTTCTTTCTCAAAATGATCCTATGGAACGCTGGTGAGGATGTGCAGAAATCGGAACCCTTGTGCGATGCTTCGGGGAATATAAAATGGTATAGCTGCTATGGAAAATAGTATGGTGACTCCTCAAATATTAAACACAGAACTATCATATGATCCAGCAATTCCACTTCTGGATATACACTCAAAAGAACTGAAAACAGGGACATGAATAGATATTTGTACACCCTCATTCACAGCAGTATTATTCGTAATAGCTAAAAAGTGGAAGCAACTTGAACATCCATCAATGGATAAATGGATAAACGAAATGTGGTATATACATACGATGGAATATTATTCAACCTTAAAAAAAAATTCTGACGTGTGCTACCACGGATGAACTTGAAGACATTATGCTAAGTAGAATAAGCCAGTCACAAAAAGACAAATACCATATGATTCCACTTATACAAGGTACCTAGAGTTGTCAAACTTATAGAGACAGAAAGTAGAATGGTGGTTGCCAGCAGCTCTAGGGAGGAGGCATAGAGAGTAATCGTTAACCAGGTATGACGTTTCAGCTGGGGAAGATGAAAAAGTTCTCGAGATGGATGGCAGTAACAGTTACACAACAATATGAATGTACTTAATGCCACTGAACTATACGCTTAAACATGGTTAAAATGATAAATCTTAATGTATACGTTATTTTTTTAAGTCATTAAAATAATGATTCTGTGAGAGAAGGTAAAGCAGATATGATTAATCCCACTTTATAAGCACTTGAGAAAGGGTTTCACTGCTTAGTTCGAGCCACAGACAGGGCAGAGGCAGGACTGGAAACCAAGTATCCAGGATCTTCACTTCCAAGCGTCACGAACTATCAGTGATCCCCACTCGGCTATTTCTTCCATGAAGGGGAGGACAAGCTATGGAGTATCTATCTCATGCACCAAGAGTCTTTCTCAAAAATTTTGCTTGTCAGAGGCAAGTAATATTTTTACATATTTTGTCAAAAGTATTATTTTTCTAGATACCTGCTGGGGGGCGGGGCGGGAAGCCCTTTCTTTAATTAATATGGATGTACCTACTCCTCTACTAAGAAAGGGAATTTTTTTTTTAAGGTTTCAAGAACATAAACTCCATGATAAGATGAAAATGGGAGTTCACTACTATATTCTCAGGATTTAAGAATGTCTAGTTCATCGGAGGTATTCAAATACATTTGTCAAAGGAATGAATAGACTACAGAATATTTGAGTATTTAACTGCTAATATAACTTTGGGTTTCCTTTAAATCATCCTCATCTTGACTTTTTCATTGTTTATTAATTCTACTAGAGACTGAGAAGCAAATCAGATATACTTGCTATTAGTTATAGTGTTCATTAAAGGGATTAGCTGCAAGACTTAGCTCATTTGAACGTGTGGAATAACACGTGGACTTTATATAAGTAGGTGAATGCAAATGAAGACTCATTCCTGATTCTCTGATAGGCTGCCAAAGTCTCTCTTTTCATTTATCCACCACTTTATTCTACTTGCACATAAAACTTATTTTATTTTACATAAAACTTATTTTTATGTTTTCTATTTATTTTCAGACTCACTTTGCTTTTTCAAAGTAAAAACATTCTCTCTATGTGATTTTGAACCTTACCCTCTTCTTTGCATTTCTCTCTCCAGAGAAGGTTGTCCTCAGCCAAAATTCTCCAGTAGCGACACGTCTGAGCCGCTTGTAGCAGGTCTTTGGGTTCCAGGAATGAAAGCACATAAAGTGCCAGCTATGAAAAGAAAAAAGTATAGTATACACTTATTTTTACAAAAAAATAAAAGTATAAAAATAAGCTAATTATTCTCTACAGGATGGAGTACTTATAGATAAATGTAATATAATTCTACATTCTAATTTCTAAAATTATGAAAGTCAGTACCCTCTGATTAATACTCAGTCTTAACAAATATATACCAGATTTAAGAAACTCACTCTTATTGGTTTTTAGGAACTTCACTAACTCCTCACCTCTTCAAGGAACACTTATTAAATCTCTCAGCCTCTGCTATTGCCTTTGCTGTTGAGTGGCAACTCAAGAATTCTGTCTGTCCATCCATCCGTCCATTGGTCCATCTGTCCGTCCATCCAGTACAGTCCACCCACCTACCTATCTAAATATCTATTTTATTTTACTTGTTTAAATTTTATCTTTTTATCTCCCTAGTACGATGTAAATTTATTGAAGGGTAAATTTATTAAATTTATTGAAGGACTTAAGAAACGAGAATTCTTTATATTCTGTGTGATATGATTTCAGATCACTTCTGATAGTTAGATGTAATTAATAGTTCTTTATCACATCAAAGTGTTTATTGCCATAATGATAAACTTTTAAAACGTTTACACCCTTAACTGTAAATGACAAAAGGGGACAATTACAAAATTGCTCCATAGACAAATATAAGAGTAAATGGGTTCTAATTACTTTACATTGCTTAAGAGAATTTCTTGATAGGCCAGATAGAGTTGTATATTTGAGCTAGCTCTCTGGTATATCGTTGGTTTTAAAATTTTGTTGCCAATACTTGCAAACCAACAATTTTTTTCATTGTGTAAAGTCAATTCAAATAAACGAAATGAAAAAAGAAGAAAAAGAGGACTGATGGCTTCCGAATATGCTTATTCAATTAGCCTCATGAATCACAGAAATTTAAATTATGCTATTAGGACAAAAATGTTCTAAACAGAGCAATAAAACAAATAAAAATACACAGAAGCAATAAAGTTTAGTTTTTATATAAACTGAATTACAAAGATTAAAACAAACTATCATTTAAAGGGCCAAGGATCAAGAAGGGAGTACAAGCACAATTTGAATTATTTTTTAATGCGAAATAAAAATTACATAGTATGAATTACGCTTTCCCAATGATTTTCTAAATATCGAGTTCATTCTTAATCACAAATTCATTGACTACATTCGATGTAGAAAATACTTCAACTATTCGGTATTCAATTTAATACTACTACTGACAAATGACAGTAGAATATTTTTTGTGGAATATTTTTGGTCTGTCAGAGAAGATCATTCAGTATCACATATAGAAATAGTCATTTAAAATAAGAGGCATATTCAACAATCTACATATATGTGTGTATATATACATACACATATACAAATATACATATATATTTCAACATTGTCATTTTTTAATGGATACTCCATAAGCCACTTAATTTTGCAATTATCAATCAGTCAAAGCCTGGGCAAGTTTTCTTAGTGGCAGTATAGATAATATGCTAAGCCAGGACTCAGTTTCATTCTTACGTAGCCTCACTTCGTTTTCCTCAGGCAATCTTTAAAAGAACACTTAATCCAAAAAATCTTCGTTGCATTTACCCTGGTTATCAATAATTTGTGCTTAATTCTTAGACTCTTAAAAAACTCTCATAGTCTTCCATTTTAAATCATATTTTCTGTGTGTTAAAAAGTGGAAATCCAAATAAAGAAAAAACAAAACAAAAACTCACCACTCTTAGAGATAAGGAGACAAATCAGACTAAGAGAAAGTCTATCTTTTACCAAAATACTACCTTCTAAAATAAGGAGGATATCAAAGGAAACTATGAAGAATATATCAAAGGTGAATAAATTCACTTTCAGTCAAATATTTACAAAAGTGTTTCCTATTATTAACATCCTTCTGGAAGCTAAAAGAGCTTATGTCACTTTCATAAGCCAAATCTATTCAAAGAACTCGGTTTTAGAATGAGCCAGCAAGAATAAAAGTTTATTTCTGGGACAATATCATTAAAAAAAAAAAAAAAAAAAAAAAAATCACTTCAAAGAAGAAACATTTCAGGAAAAAAAAAAATGTTTTTCTCATTTTGTTTTTTTTCCTGGAGTTATTCTTAGTTTCATATATTAAATATGATGAAATTATTTTAGTCACAGCCAATGTGAAATTAAAACTGGAACTATCTTTAATTATCTTAGGCTATTTAGAATGGTTTTCTGAAAAAAAAAAAATTGACTCCTTTTCTCTTCAAATTTGAAGTTTCAGGATCATTTGCAATTATATATTAGTATTTTACATTGTCTTCTTAGCTGACATGTATTAGTGGCACACCTGTAATTTATGAAACTATGGTGACATGACATTGATTATTTAATGTTATATTATTTGTTTGCTAACAAAAATGAAACTATGAAGCCTATAACATCAATAGAAACTACATCTAAACTGTGCCTCATTTACACAGTCAAGAATGCCTGTATGATCATAATCTATGATTAAAAAAGTGTCAGTTTACGTGAAGATATAAAAATAAATGGGCATAAATAATTCCACGAGAAATGTCATAAGAATGCAATTGGTAAGGAAAATCTGTACTTATGTGTGTGTTTGTTGTGTGATAGAGGTGAGAAGCAGGATGATTAAAAGAAAAAGATATACATGTGAAATTCCATATATTTTAAAATAATTATACAATATAAGTAACAGAGAACTACAATTCAATAGAATCATAAAACTATTAGTCCCGAAGGGACTTGGGATAAACAAACAACAAAATAAGAAATAATTTTCTGTTTTAATAAATCAGATTAAAAAAAAAAATCTACTGCTATAATGAACATGCCAAGACAACTAAAGGTTGGGTTTCAAATAACCTGGGGGAAAATCCTGGTAAAGAAACAATCAAATTAGTGAAACTAAATAGCTTACTCCCATATATGACTTATTCCAGTGGTAGAAAGAAGTCACTCAGTCTATAAGCATACTTTAATCTGAAAATGATATTATTAAGTAATGGCAGGTTATTATTTACAGCCCTCTGTAACACTTCTTAAAGGGTTAAACTGGTAATGCCGAATACCATAATTAGCATGACAGTGTTTAAAGGTGGCAGCTGTTGAATTATATTCTCAAATAGCACCCCATGAAGAACGGAGGTGATCTTCCTTACCTCTTTAGGGAGCAACGAAATGAAGTCTCGTTGAAACTGGGGTTCTATCACTTGCATCATATGTTTTACTTGTGTTGGTTCGCAACTATCAATAAGTTCATCTAAAGCAAGCAATTTCTCTGGTCCACTCCAGCTCTATCAAAGAGAAATCAGAAACTTTTATTATTTTAAAATAGATGTCTCAAATTATGAAATCATAAAAAAAAACCCATATTTATATGCAAAATAAAAAGGGCTCCTTATAGTGACCTTTTTCTCCAGAAGGCATTAAAGTGATAATCATTTAGTCTCATCAAATTTACCAGATACCTTTATTTTATAAAAGCTTTTTAAAAAGTCATAGTTTTGACAGAAAAATATTTTTATTACATTATTATAATTGTTATATAGTCATCTACCACCAAGATACTGGTTGAGAACACCAAACTTTTATTCAGAAACATCAATTTGGGTATAGGGAGTTTTGACAGATTTTCTTTATGTTCTTTCAGGTGGGCACCATAAAACTTAAGGGCTTTAATGAAGCACTCATCTGAGGAGACTGGCAGCATCATTCAGAGGAAAATTAATAACCGGGTATACTGAACATCTGACAAGTGTCTTCCACAAATTAAAAGGGCTTTGATTTGTTGTGTGAAAATAGTTTCAGATAAAGAACGGCAAAGAGCAGAAAACAGTAGCTGATTTAGTAGTAATATTAGAATATGAACACAGACTAAAAGAGGGCAAAAAAATAAAAGTACTACATTATGGAAAAACAAAAACATAATTATACTTCAAAAATATAAGCTCCTTTAAACTATTCTAGGGAATTTTTTTTTTTTAAGCTTTTTTCCAGTTAGGAACACCTAAACAGAAAAGCCATAATTCTTAAAAGGAAAAACTGAAAAGCCATGTGGATAATCGAAAATGTTAGAATTTCCCCTCACAATAATCACGTAAAACATTTAAATAACCTTGTAGTTCTTAAGTAAAAGAACATTATTCTGCTATTAAGAAACTTGATTTCTTGAATTATTTGAATTATTATGTCCATTTTGGAAGTGGGTGAAGAGGGAAAAAATAGGTGAAGTTTAGAGCTAGAAAGATCTAGATTTTTGACTCCATTTCTTGCTCAAACTAGAAAGTTGGATTTTATAACATGTGGAATAGATAGTAACTGAAAACTGAGATATGCTGAGGATACCGGAAGCCTTATTTAGAACATTTTAAAGTATTTTTTAAAGTATTTACCCCTTTAGAATCTATAATAAACTTCATCTCCTCTTTCCTATCATAAAGTGTAGATTATGGTAATACTACCGAACATTTCAGTAGCACTTCCGTCCATAGTACCTATCACAAACATTATCTCATTTAATCGTCATAAAAACTCTGGGGAACATCCCCCTTTCACCACCGAATATGAGGAAACACAGGCTCTGATCGGTTGTGTCCTTTCCTTTTACTTCTATACATACACACACATGGAACATTCTCCTTGAGTACTCGCCTTGTATCTTTTTTGGTTAGGCTGGAGATTTATACATAGAAATTAAAAATACTCATACACATTCAAAGCAGTTAGTTTGAAGTTTGATTTTTTTTGTTCAGTTTCCCTCACATAGCTTTAAATCCTGATTCAAAACTTACCTCTTTGACAAAATTTATACTGATCAATCTCCACTCATCTCTGGTCAATTAGTATCAATATTACAAACTCTGATTTATTGATTTACATTCCTCACAAGATTTCAGGTGGCTTTTTATAATATTTTGTTCCTCTCTATCTACATTCTAAGGTTCATGGACACTAGTATAAGGAGCATATCCATTTTGTGTAAAAGATAACCATGCTGACTTGATTGAATTATAGCTTAATTAGGTTTCTTGATAGCAGAATAATTTTAATGTAAACTTCTTAATCTCCTTTGCATATGTTAATACCTGATTTAAAAGTGTTTAGAAGTGTTTATGGTTAAACTTTGTTACAAAAATAAAGATACCCTACGCAACCCAGAGTAAAAACAGTGAAAAGGTTTCAATGTATTACTACTCCATATACTTTATATAGTAACTATATTAATAGCTACTATAAGTACATCTGATTTAAGGTAATATAAATGTTTAATGTTTTCTTTTTTCAGTTAATGTAATATTACTGTTTTTTAAAAAATAAATAGAAAAACAATATCAATACATGGTAAATAACAGAATAGGTGGAAAAATACTTATTAGCAGTTGTATGAAAAAAGCCAGAATAGAACATAAATAATTAATTCAGATCTTAGGTAAATGCTAGAAACTGTGGCAGAAACCTATATATGTATATTTAAGGCAAAGTCCATGGCAAAAACTATGCCTGCATAGCAAAATGTTTCTAAGACTTTAAACAATGTTTTTGCTTTGTTTTAGTTAATATTTAATAAGTCAAATAACGTTAAAATTATCTCATTTAAATTTACATTTAGCAGATATTACTTTGTGACATTTTACTTAAGAATATACCACTGATAAAGTATAGCAACATAAGCTGTAAACTACATGGTAAGTGAGACTGTTTCCGCTGACCAGACATACTCTACAGTCTAATTACTTAAACTCACATCTCTTACATGGTTCCAGCAAAGGTCTGAACCATATAGGCGGCTTTCCTCTCTCCAGCCTGGATTTCCAACCTGAACTCTAGACTTGTATATAAAATTGTTTACTCAACATGTATTCTTAGATATGTAATAGAAACCCACCACCTCCCTATTTCAGTAAAATGTAACTCTATTCTGTTAGTCGTTCAGGCTCAAAACTCTGGAGTCATTCCTGATCCCCTCACGCTCACTAGCAGATAGTTCTGATCCATCAATGAAATCTAAGGCCTTAAACTTGAATCAAAATATATCTAGAATGTAATAGAACTTAATAGAACGTAAATTCTGCGAAAGTAGAGTTTTGTTAACTACTGTATTCCAGATCCAAAGGAAGGCCTAGCACCTAACAGTTGCCCAATTAATATTTGTTGAATAAATGAATCCCCAAGGAGTCAAGAAGTACTGCACCAGCACTACCTCAAAACTCTCTCTAGAGAGTGTTTCTATCCTTTATATTTGATGGTATCACTAGAACTTGTTTGCTTAGTCAGGTTCCAAGTCTGGATACAAACTTTGTATACATACATGGTTTAGAAGAAAGGGATGTGTGCAGTAACTTGAAAACCCTGCAGTTAATGACTATATTAAAACGAATAACAACAATCCACACCAACTTTTAATGAGGAATAGTGGAAAGAGCACTGAATTGGGGATCAGAAAATCCAACTTTTAGAAAGAGATATTGTCATTAACTAAGTTACTATTTAACCTCTGTGGCCTAAGTTTCTTTATCTGCAAAAGTGATGGATAATTCTGACAATAATTATATTTCTGTTCTGAAAAGCAGCTGTCCTGAAAAAGAAAAAGGCATCTGCCTTTGGTCTTGTATGATAAAGCTAAGTGAGAACATATTAAAAGGGATAGGAAAAACATTCCAAATTCAGAATAGTTTGTTTCAAAAGAAACAAAATTTAATTTGTGGACAAAACTGCAAATGCAAACTTGAAAATTCCCCATAAAAGTGATATCTTATTTTAGGTAATTAGAGAATACAGATAGTAGTGAAGAATAGAAGGAGCACTGAACTATAATCAGGCGCCTGGGTTTCACCAGTAAACTCACCGTGGAACCACATGGAAGTTCCTTAATTAGTCTGAGTCTCAGAAACCCCACCTGTATAATGAAGGGCTTGGTCCAGACCAGTGGTTCCCAAATGCTGGTTGAGGAATGCAAGAATCTTGGAGTCCTACAACCCGCCATCAGAGTCTGATTCAGTAGGCAAGGTGATGTTGAGGCCATTTTATGTTTTAAATAAACAACTCATCCAGGATTAATGGAAGTGATTCCCAAAGCAGGAGTGAAACTGACCAACAACTCCTGGATGATCGATCTTTACTTAGTACCCCAATCAGACAAATATTGTGACTTTGGTCAGTACTGTGCCTGAATTTCATGTGGTAAAGAACTAACTTCTGTAACACCTCCAACGGATGGTTATCCAGTCTGTTTCAACAGTTTCAGGCGTAGAAAGTACTTACTATCTCCCCTTCTATTGTGGGTATGTTCTAATTAAGTTCAATTTATATCAAAATCTGACTCAAAGAACACGATCCAGGTTTTGTTTTCTAAAAAAAAACAAGAATCAGCCTGACTGTATTTTTATATAAGTCTTCAAAATGTTAGACAGACATGGCATTTCCCGTGGTCTTCTCTAGCTAAATGCATGACTTTCTTTAACTCTTCCTCACACAAGGTTTCTTGATCTTACTCTTTTGAATATAATTGCAAAGTAATACTGAATTCATTTTCTTTTGGCACTATCCTGTTTTAATGTTTTATCAACTGTCAAATAAAAAAGATGTAAATAAAGTAAGTTAGAAAACATGTACGACTTCTAGGGGTTACCGTGAAACTTGATTAAATCCTTCAACAGAATAATTTTTACTCCGTTTTTAATTTAAAAACACAGTATTTTCTACTTTATCAATTTAAACAATATTTTTAGTATAGCAGGTTTTTTCAAAGTACATTTATCATTTTAATGCAATGTGAATATGCTTTGATTACAGTAATGCTAATAACGTCAAGCTAATGGCATTAGTATGAAGCTAATGGTAACAGCCCTTTTTTAGACCTGAAAAAACTGAGACTCACAAAGGCCCTTTCCTGACCCACAGACAAAACTAACATTTACTGAGTCTACACTGTCTTTACAAGTATAGTTTATGTACATTACATGTTTTCTCCTTTTTGACAACTTTTTAGTGTCATATCTATTTTAGAGGAAGAAAATAAAGGCAAGAGTGGTTACATAATATCTACAAAACTGCACAGTTAAGAGGCAAAGCCAGAATCTATACTAAGAGCTTTTCTCCTAAGTCATATTATGCTTCTCATATATCAAGATGCCTCTGACTATAAATTTCAACATAAGACAATGTTGATAGTATTGATTTCTTTACCTAGTCCAAATCTTTCAAGTAAAAAGAAATATTAACACCCAAATGACATAAACAACAACAAAAAAGAACAATCCTCTCCCCCCAAATTATTAATCTGAAGCATCAATCTGGCTGCAAAAAACAAGCAAACAAAAAAAAAGGCGGAACCAATGAGTACTGAAAATCCAAACAGTACAAAATTTCTGAGGTTTTTTGCTTTGTTTTTAATTTGCACTTCTACTTTGCAGTGGCATTCAGTTTCAGTTTCCCTTTATTCAAAATGGTGTGTCATTTGTCCTCATTCAATTTATAAATTGAGTACTTTGTCAAAATAGATGGAGCTGGACCAAAACAATGCTGTATCGCTGCCTTAGGAGCAATAGCAGAACAGTAAGGGGACAAACTCTCCCATTTTGCTTGTTATGCAACAGAAAAGTCATCATTAAATGCCCCCACAGCACATCTGTAGAAATCATGCCAGTTTAATTATCCTTCAACTATACCACATAGGTCAACTCATGATTCCCCCACCTGACAATGAGATTACATCTCTCTACAAGTTAGGCATTAAAGTACTGTAAGCCTTTAGGCAAGCGATTCATTTCTAGTTACTTTGGCATCAGCCCTGAAAATAAAGGGCAGTGCACGACAATGAGGCCCTGGGCACGTCAGGGACAGACATGATACTCAAAAGATTAAGGTCCTTATCTGCCTATCTAGTTGACCTTTTATTGTCAGTAGATTTCTTTGCTACGGAATATTTATCTGAAAAAAAAAAAAAAAGTAGTACTATACACACAGGGATAATTCTACATGTTATTCCTATTAACGTCTCAGTTTTCTTCACTCTGTCCACTTCTCATATATATATATAAAAAAAAACAATCAAATGGGCCTTTTTACAGAACAAAAGTTAGTAATGATCTTTAGTTTACTGAATCTCATTAATTCTAAGAAACAAGCTTTTTTTAAAAAAAAATGAACATTTTTGAAGTTGGGATGCATCTAATAACCTTGGTATCTCAGATTTGATGACGTACATTATGGCAATGTGGGCACTTCATTAAGAAAAGCCTGAGCTAGCTAAATGAGCAAACATCATAGAGAGGGCTCCCTAAAACACCCTCACTGCAAAATAATGTACAAATGCCCCCTCCTAGATAGATCAGTATTTGAGAGAGTTCCACTAAAACTGGGAAAAAACTTACATGGCTAGTAAAGAACATTATGGAATATTGGGAAAAAATGGGCCCATACTGATTTTCAAGCTCACTCTAGACTACCTTCTGGTAATAAATAAAGCTTTTCGTATAAAATAAGTATTTTGGAGGCTGTCTGCGATGACAAAACTATTACTAATAGTGTAATTTTTGATCATGTTAGTACTTTCTCATAAAAATGACATGAAATCAGCTTCTGCAGTACTCTCAAGTAGTGTGCTGCTCACACTGCATACATGTGCAAAGATGACAACACGCTCATCTTCCCATTTCCTCAGCTAAAAGAAATCAGTATTTCTTTAAAGTATTTCTGAAAGACTATATAAATGTCTGAGTTCTATCTTCACCTCTTATTAATGGATGTTGCTTTTTTTAAGGATGCAACAAAAAATTTAGAATTCTGAAGGCATGTGTAGGAAAAAAAATATTTTCAATTAAAAAAAATCATGATGAACCTGGAGGAATGGAGGAAATAATCCTTGGGGCAGGGTAAGTTTAATAAATAAATGACTATGAAAACAAAACAAAGCCAAACAAAACTCAATTCTTTGTAATTGCAGTGGTTCACAACGCTGTAATAATAATAGTAAAATACATTTTTTTATTCTTCTAACCATAGATTCTCAACCTCAGTGCTACTGACATTTTGGGCCCGATAACTTTGCTGTGGGAGGCTGTCCCTTACATTGCCTCTACTCAGTCGATGCCAGCGATGTCCTGCCCCTACAGTTGTAACAACCAAAAATGTTTCAACCAAGGGAGCAATCTGCCCCCTGTCAAGAACCACTGCTCCAACCTTTCAGTTATCAACCACAAAGAAAAGTTTATCCTAGTTTTTCTGAAATCACCTGAAGGGTAGAAAACAATTTTTAAAATCCATTTAAAAATGGCATTGCTTCCAGTGAGTTTTCTAGCTACGGAAAAAAAAAAAAATTGGGATTTATTTAGTTTTTGCCCAGGTATATAAAATATTAAGATTTACATAAATGGACATCTTAAAAATCTGAAATGTCACATAAAGTATCCTCTTTTTCAACCCTTATTCCCTTATGCAGCCAGAAAATATCACCAATCAAGCAGCCAGAGGTAAGGAAATAAATTCATTTTGCATTAGAATAGTGGCTAATATCACAGATACCTTCACTTTACATAATTTGTATCATTTATTATTTATAAAAAACAATTGAGTGTTTAATCCATGCCAACTATTTTGCTAAATACTTGATTTATATGCATTACTTCACTGGAAGAAGAGATAAGTCAATTTAATATCACTATCGTGAGTTATAAAATTCATAATTTTCAAGGTTTGGTTATAGCTAATCATCGTAGTAAACTTTCAAAGAATTCAAATGCTACTAAAATATAGTAATCAGAATTTGAGCACAATAAGCCATACAAAAACATGGCATAATGCAAAAAAAGCTGCATCAAGCCTTTGGAGGATACTAAGGCAACAGTGATAGGCAAGCTACCACCAGGGACTAATGAGTGGAGTTCTTAACATTACTCCTCAGTGCTCAGCTTCCAAGCAATGCAGTTTAGAGCACGAGTACATTTAACAAGATCAGAAACCAAATCGTAAAGGGGAGAAGGAAGAAAGGTCTTACTATCTAAAAAGCAATAAAAGAAATGCAAATGCACACCTCTATAAAATAAGCATTGGACTCCCCTGAGTAATAGTTAAAAATTAAAATGAACTCCCTTATTTTTAATAGCATTTTTAATTGAGATATACTTCATATAACATAAAATTCAGCATTTTAAATGGACATTTCGGTGGTTCCCAGCACACCCATCCTGCTGCGCAGCCATCGCCACTCTCCAACTCCAGAACACTTCCGTTACACTCCCCAAACCCTGTACCTGTTAGCAGTTAGTCTCAGCCTCCCCTCCCATCATAGCCTAGCAACCACGCAATCTACTTTTTCTCTCGATGGATCTGCCTGTTCTCGTATGTAATCATACAGTATGTGGCCTTTTTTATCTGGCTTCTTTCATTTAGCATAATGTTTTCAAGGTTCATCCATGGTATAGCACGTAATGGTTCCTTTTCATGGCTGAATAATTCCTTATTTTGTAGAAATCAAGGGAAACATTTCAAGTACTGTGTTTAGATATGTCACCTGAAACATTTTCAGCCACTCCTGGAGGCCTGTAGGTGGTTGGACAGATGTAATTCGGCGACGTTGTTGCCCTTGGCCATTGGCTGCTCTCAGGTCTCCAAAAGTTGTTGGTGTTGCTGAACATGGTACAAGCCCAGTGGTACTACAAAAAACACAAGAGTGGAAGCAAAGATAGATATTTATTAAGAACAACGGGCTCTAATTTAATAAGAGTGATGATCTGGCATATTTCGAACATTAATCAAATTATTATTTTTATTTGCTTATTCCCAGAGTACAAGGATACACAAAACCAATTCTGCTATTCTTAGAGTACGTTTCCTCCCTCCTACATAACACCTGTTATTATCCCAGCAATGCTAATTGCAATCAAATGACAGAATCTCTATGGCAAAAGTGCAAGTTGTTGATACATACAAATAATGTTGGAATACTTTCTTAGAAGATATAGGTTCCACTTCTCTTATGACTGGTCTCCAGTAACATAATTAAACAAAAGTTTAAATATCCTTTATAAAAAGGGGTGTGAGACTTATAAATGCTTTAAAAAATCCATATGTAGAAATTCTATGTCCAAATGTTTTGGACATTTTACTAGTTACATTATTCCTTTAGTTTGCCCAGATGCCTTCTAAATTATTTATAATATTTGTCTATTTCTCTCCAATTTTCTATTGTTATTTATGAAGCTTAGTCTAGATAATACTTGACAGAAGCAATCCTTGATTAGAAATGTGTTTACTCAAAACAGGTAAGTATTGAAAACACATTATATGTAAAATTAAATGAGATCACCTAACCACTATTATCCAAAAATTTAAACTTTAAGACAGTTTAAAAAAAAAACTTGAAATTCAGTTCTGCCACTAGTAAGATGAAGGATTAAGACTAGATGATCTATCTCTAAAATTGCCTAACTCTCCTAAAAATGACTAATTAATAGAAAAAAGTATAGTTATAACTGCTATTAATATATTATGATTTACTTTCTAATTTCAATACTTAATTAAATTATTTAAACTCAAGGTAAATACTGAACATCTTTACTTTAGAGACAGTTAAAAAAAGGAGCAGAAAGATTCAGTTAACAATTACATTTGTAAAATAATCTTCAATTTATTGAAGCTATGATAATAAAGTGTTTTAAATCCAAAAAACATGTAAATTGTATCCTAATAATTAAATATCAAACTCTGATAAATTACTAATGAAACAACTCCAATTCTTTTCTATACACTGTATCATTAATTTGTTTAAAAATACGTATCTCAGTCACCAGATTTTACAGAAAAATCTTCATATCTTTCACCTTTAAATCTTAACATTATACATCTATGACAATCTCTACCATTCAATAATTAAGACTATTTTTTCATCTACCAAATTTCAAAGGTAAGTTCTATTTTCTTCTCTGAAATAAAGCAATTTTTAAACTGATTATAACTTAAATTTTCTAATAAAAATGATGGAAAATTATAGTTTCATCTTATTAGAAAATCTATCAAATAAATTTAAAAACATCAACTATATACTGACAACGTATCTAAAAAGACAAGGAAATCAATATGCTGTTTGCTCTGCTTTAGTAATATAATATTTATTATATGTTAAGAGGCTAAAAATAAAACTTTCACCTTTTCCAGTGCTTTCTCAATATAAAAAGGGAGCTACTAAAGACAAATTTTGTACTAAACTGTGTTCCATAGTAAAAATTCAGCTTTCGTTTATTAGCTGCCTTAAAAATAACTGAGCAATTCAATACCTTTGTCCTGCTATCAGCCATATTAAAAGAAGACCAAGAATGTGGTTAACTGGAATCTATACATTAAAAAATAGCACATTTTAAACATTAAACTCAACTTTCTTACCAAGAAATACTTTATCAGGACTAGAAGGAAAAAGCAAAAATGAAGTAAACAGTGTCACCTGTCTATCACTCCACACTTCCTGGTGGAAGTGCCAAAACACAGTGAAATTGTCAAAAGGCAAAAAGTAAGTAAGAGGGAAGGGACAGTTCATATGAGAAAATAACACAAACAGCATTTCCTGAATAACTAAGAGATAGCTTTTTCTCTTCTGTATCATCTCTGCATTTTTTGTATATAAAACTATTCTAATTATTATGATTTCTAAATTTCATAGGAGCGTTTGAAAGAAATATTTTCAACAACTGAATGAATATATAGGTTTCTATGAAAAAAAGGATGCAATCTGTAACAAGGCTCAATCACAAAAACTTATGTCTAAGCAATGTTCATTTTACTCCATCTTACAGAATAAAAATAACTCTAAATGAAAATATTTAGGAAAAAAAAGAAATGTCACCATCATAAAAGTTCTTATGGTTTCTATAGCTAACTTTCAACCAGTTAATTGAAGAAGTGACAATTATTCACAAAAGACCAAAAAAAGTTCTTAAGATACTTTTGTCATTTAAATTTTAAAATACCACAGTCCAAGTGACATCTAAAGACATTTTTAATTGGCTGGGTAGTAGATATTGTGCTTAAGTTAGCTTAATTAGCGTGAGAGTGGGAAAAGTTTTATACTGATGCAAAATCCAAAAATGATGGAATGGTGCAGGAAACAAGACTACAATTGTATTTAGTTGTTATGGAAACTATTCTACTGGCATAGAAATGTATGTGTTAAAAACATGAGAACTACAAATAAAAGCAGATTTCTAACAGTAACTTCAGGAAATATGATTTAGTTAGTAATTGCGAGGTTTATTTCACTGCTAATAAATGTATCTTCAATTTTCCATATATAAATATCCACCCTGGAACATCTGTTGCTATAGTAACAAGACACATTTCTTCATATTCATATTTTCAGACTTACTTTTTAGAATTCCTTATGAATTGCGATTTAAAAATTTTGTTAATTAGAGAACTTCTGCTGTGTCTTACTTCAACGTATTAGTAACAAAATATAAAGCTATAGTGGTAGACATTTTCTCCTTATTTAAAATGATGTGTTTCCCAATTTTTCAGTCATCTCAAAATGTGTTAAACAGTCAACAGTACTAGTGACATATAATTCTATGAGAATAAACCGAAAGAAATGCTTTTAGAATCATCAACCCTTTAAAGAAACATGAGAATCATGAGAGAATCAATTATTATACTTAATATTACCTTGTATATTCTGAGACTTTGCATGGTTTCTTTCCCAAAGAAAAAGAGCGGACCTCAGAACCATGGTCCAACTTTCTTTTCATCTATAAGGTAAAACAAATAAGATATGTTTTTTAAAAAAATCACCTGCCCAACTATCAAATTTTAACTTTACCATTGGTAATATTGAAAAAAATCTTAATTTTCATATGCCTACAGGTTAATTAGGCATAGTTAATTAATATAGAAAATAAATGTTTCATAGTTTCTTCTATTAGTTCTACTTTGTTTTATTCTTTACAAGACTGGAAAGGTGAATTTTCCCCCCAAATATTTTGTCCAGCTTATAAATGAACAGTGTATGGCGATTGAAAAATTGATATCCGTCATATATATTCCTTGAGAGTAATATCCCTTTCACGTTTTCCAGTTTAAGAACCAACATAGGGGAAAATATCATTTTAATCTACACAGAAAAGAACCATATTTAACATGCCTTTCTTACTGATCTTCATTTTCCTTTAAAAACATATTTTAAGAAAGATAAACAGGAAATTTCAAAATTTCAGAATGGAAGTAAGAATAACTAAATTTAAAACACACATATTATTATAAAGAGTAAAGAGAACAATGTAAATAAAATGATCTTGAAACATAATTATAATAAGGCATAAAGCAATGAATATGGGCAATGAGGACAGTCAAAAAAAGTAACTATAAAAAACCTGGAGATGGCAAACTAAAGATAGAAAAAAATGCCATCAATTGATAGTTACACAGAACATAGCTCTACTGACAGATACTCAGGACAAACATTCTAACTTGAAAAGTAACGACAACAAAAAGATTTAAAAAACATGAGTTATGCATCTTTGTAAGGTATAGCCATCATTTACAGCTTTAAAGTATTTCATTATGCTATATATATGTAATACTCTAAATATATTCAGAATTGTATTTTGTCAACATCAATACTAAAGTATTTTTTTTTATATTTTACTATTGGTTATTGAACTATACATATATTAATTATAAAGTCAGAAAATAAGATATGATAAGATTCAATTCTTTTATTCCAACAACCCCTCTCAGCTTTGTCTGCTAATGAATTACTGTATTACTGAAAATTACAGGGGCAAAATCCCCAGAGTGATAGATAGCTATTCTCATTTTTATAATAAGGTTGAAAACCCTTGTTTTGCATCAGCCTTATTTTCTTACCTACTGCCTCACATGGGAACATCATAACACAGCATGCTATACTGTAAATACTAAAGAGGACCAACCAGACTGTAAAATCTTTTTGAACCACATTCTGGATAATATAGACTATGTTTTTATCATCATGATGAAAGTCTTCCAAAATACAGGGACAATCTTACAATTGTAGGGGCTAGAGGTGAGGATACGACACGCTCATCCACAATTTATACCTTATTTCATGAAATACCCACTAGAAATAAATGGAACTAATCTTATTTCAACCCTTCAGAACTTTCCGTACTCATTACATGTTTTAAAGTGATTCCTCTCAAAAACCATTCCTTTCTTTCTCCAAATAATTTTAATAAAAAGCAAAATATAAAAGATTTAATACATAGGTAGCCACGTGCTTGCATGTATATAAATTATAGATCCACATATACACATACACGCAAATGTATCCATTAAAAGGTCAGTCAGTACAGATTACCTTAAAAATCTGTTTTTTTAATAACTTCCACAGATTCTTATTTTCGAAATTATTATGAGAAACTTTGATATTTACTCTAATTAAGTTTGGAATGCTGGCTTTCAGAACTTCCCTGGATTTTGTAAATACATTGGTGCAAATGCCATTTGCCACTAAAAGCAAACTTTATTTCCATCTTAGAAAACCTTCAATGAATAAAATGTCCAAAATGCATACCAAGGGAACCACTGAGAAAGAATTTTTGTCTTTAGAATACTTTATAAAATACTTTCTGTATGACTATAGAAGTCTTTTAATATTATATTGTTTACTGAAAATACTGAGTTTAGAACCAAAAATTAATTCTGCAATTTTTTAAGAGGCGCAGAAAGTAAATATGATCTCTTTAAATATAAATCCCAACGATTCTAGCAGTTCTACACTTTAATAGAGTCAACTAAAGAAAAAAGAAATAATATATCTAAGGTATAGAAAAATTAAAGGCAAAAGGTTCACTGAAAGCCAACTAAGGGTAGAGTATTTCCAGGTCAGCATTTATCGAAGCCACATTTCCAAAGTCTGAATATATTTTTAGTGAAAAATTCTCAGATTCAAATATACATTTTCTTTAAAATGTAAAGCATTTTACAGCTCATGTCTTTCCCTTATTTGCTTACATCCACAATATAAAACAGAACACCAGACATCTAGCCACCCACCAAAATTAGAGGATACTGCAGCCATCTCTGATGATACAGATTTTCCTTCTCAGGCAGGCACACACACACAATCATACAACACAGGAAGAAAATAGATTACTTACTTTGTAAAAAATCATTTTTAGTGTGCCGTAGAAACCCATATTTTCTGTATTTTTCCCCTTCAGTGATTCTGTGCCCCCGTGTGTCCTGCTGCTTGGCAGTCTCTGACAATATAAACCTTTTTCAGGTAGGTATGTCACAGATTCTAATGTGGACATGCTCAGGCACGTCAGAAAAGGAAGATTAGGGAGCAGAACCGGCAACAAAACTCCACAGTAAAGGCAAAGGCAGCTCAGTATCAAACCGCTTCTCGGGACACACATACATACATGCAGCTTGACTGAGGAGAACTCGAGGGAATAATGAGAGAGAACCGAGAAGATTATTGGAGGAGACTATGCCCTGTCAAAGCCTTGACTGAACAGATTCCTCCCTCAGCAGCAGAGGGATCAGATTACATCTTCCCTTGAACACAGAATGGTGCAGTCCAGGATTCAGCAATGCAGACTGCACATCAATTATATGGTGATCCGCTCCAGGGAACCCGTAAGCACACAACGCACTGAACAGAGGGAGGATGTGGGCAGCAAATGAGACCGCCCCCACATGACAGCCCCCTCTCCCCGCTCAAACTTTCAGGAGATTATTTTTGTATTTTGTAAAACCTGCCTTTTTGAAGAGTTTTAAATGGCAAGCATCATTTCCACAAATAAGTCCTTTCAGAAACATTTTGAAAATGGAATATATTTGCATCTGGTCCTCCCAACAGAAGCAAAACAGGCTATTTTCACTAACTTGTCCTATTGCAGTCCTGGCACAGGCTGATTGCATTTTTCAAGTAGCCTGGATGGTACTAAATGGGCAATCCTTAAGGGAGAAATTAAATATTCTTTGGGGGATTTACAATAAAGTAAACCCGTTTGGAGCATATGGCATTTTCAGAAATTATGTACTAAGTTATTTTTCAACCTGTGTATTTCTTAAGTTAATGAAAGTATTCCCTATGCTTTTCCATTTCATTCGTTTAAAACATAGTTTTCAAGAAAATTACCACACACTTCATCGATCTTTAGTAATCATTAGAATATCTTTTTAAGATTAACTAACTAGTAGTAAGTATATAAAGTTTGGCTAAACGGTTCTGTTTCTACAAAGGGAGCAAAAACTGTGCTCATTGGAGAGTTTTATCCTTATTGTTAATTTAATCTTAAGTAAACAGGAGGCACTGGACCCCCAAAATTATTTTGACAATATGTATTGCTTATCATTAAATGGTATTTTCCATAATAATAAAGGTACAAAAGTTTGCCTGAAGGCAACCTTTTTCTAAGAATGATTACTACACAAATCTAGATATTTCATCTTGCAACTTGCTACACAACTAGCTTCAGAGGCAATTATAAGATTGCTTGGACTAGAAAGGCCCATTATTAAAGGTCTAGTTAATTAACTCCTACCCTCCCCATTAATGTTCTTTATTACAAGTAAACTCTGTGCCTGCAGTATTTTAAGTACTCAGAAATTCTTCAGAAAAAAAGAAATATTATTTAGACTTATCACATGTTAATACTCTCTCCTATGGTAATAAATAACTTTCTTTAGGAAATGATTCTAAATACTGCATAAAGTAGTAACTTAAAAAATAAATATGTTTACCCTTACAACTAAGACATTAAGTCAGTGTAATGTCTTTTACTTAAAAACATAAATGAAATAAGATCATCTAAAATTTTATGAAGATGTACATCTTGGATCTTCTCCTGGAAATTATATTCTATAGTCTATTATCTTTTTAAAAATCTTCCACCTGGCTCTTAAATTAACCCTTACCCTCACAAACAATACACATATGTATGCAGCAGAAGTTAGTTTTCTAAATATAAAATTAGCTTACTTCAAAAGAAAGTTCCTTTTAAAAAAGAAATCTCTTACTCTCAGCACCAAAAAAAAAAAAAAAAAAAAAAGCCAAACCAAACCAAACAAAATCCAACTATTAGGAAGGGACCCATAAACCCTTTTATTAGAGGCTTCGGAGAACTCAGGATTTAAAAAAATAAATTAAATAAGGAGTGATTCTCCCCACCTCCTAATACGACACCATTCTGGGCTATCTGAAGAAACTAATTGTAAAATAAATCCCTGAAATCTCTTCCCAAATTTGTCAGTGGCTTGACAGATATAAATGGACTCCCCACCAGTCATATAATGGTATACGTTGACTTCAATTAAAATCATGTCCTATCTCTAGTTGAACTAACCTTTTCAAATTAAGTCTACTCAGTTGAAGACACAGATCAACTTTAATAAACCAGAAACACTGTCTCAAAACCTAGGATATTTAAAGAAGAAAATATCTTAATTTGTATATTCAAAGAATGCTCTTGTGGTTACATGGCTCCTATGTATGGCTATGAAGTTACAGGAAAACTCAATCCCCACAAATGTGTTTATATGTAAGTATGTATATTCATGTTTTATTTTTGAATAGGCAAAATATTTACATGACTCAAAAAGCAAAAAGATATATAAAAAAGTATACATTAAGACTTTCCACCACCCCACAACCTACATCTACCACGGTTCCCACTTGGTAATGACTTTTTACTAGTTTACTTATCCTTTAAGTGAGAATGTATATAAGTATTCATGAAGACTTTATTTTTCCAAGTAT